AAATCTGACATTTTCCGGAACAGGATCCAGCAGGATCAAATTAAGTACTGGTCATAATACTCGCATAATAATGTTTCATGTTAGCAACCGTGTGTTTTGCTGCAGCAGCGCCGATGGAAGCGGTTCACTGACTGCACAGCCACACGCGCCACAGTTACGTTTGGGATAGTTTTATTTTAAATGCCATAATGTCAGTTGAAAACATTGCAATTGTGTTTTAAAATACAATAACGAGCACCACGAAACCATTTAAAGAGGCGCGTTCAGCGGTCTCCGTGTCGGGATAGGAAACAGTCAACAAAGTAAAATGATCTCAAACGTACGGCGCGCTCTCTTCATTTTATCAAATGATCATAATCACATCTATTCATTTTACAATCCTGCTACTAGCATTTTATTCAGACTAAAACCCCTTTAATTCGGGTGAGAAAGCGGGTTTTTTTTTTGAGTGGCTTTTGCACGTCCTGTCACGCCGGTGACTGCGTGCTGCTGCAATAGACGCATTTTGCTGCATTAAAGTTAATGATTAATTGATCGTTAATTTAAACGACGATCGATCATAGAAATTATTGAAAATTGACATCCCTAGTATGCAACATCATTGTGTGATTACGTAAACAAACTGGAGAATCGGTTAGTTGAACCAGTTCATTAAAACACACTGTCTGAAAGAATCAGTTCGCAGAAAAGAATCGGATTTCTTCATTTTTTGAGGCTTTGAATTACAGGTAATAATATTGTAAATAATGTTCAGTTTTTTGCACAGACCAATCGTTTCACTTCATAAGACCTCAATATATCGCCAGGAGTCACGGGTATTAAATCTGTGTTGCCTGATATGCTTTTTTTGAACACTCAAATTGCCGGAAGCTGCTGACTTGCTTTTTATGAATCACCATGGACCACAGTTTCAGCTAAAAATCTCCTTTACTGTTCTACTGAATAAAAAAACACTTACATCTTGGATGACCCGAGGATGAGTAAATGAACAGAAAATGTTCATATTTGGGTGAACTGTCCCTTTAATTCAGCAGAACACAGGAAGAATCCTCTTGAGGAAGCTGCGGTTAAGTGTCACTCACAACCTTGGTTTAGTGGTGTTCTTTTATTTCCCTTTGTGAGGTTTGAACAGCTTTTCGCTTACCAGCCCACAACCATTAGGCTGCATCAGTCCTAGTAATTCAAGATCTCAGAAAACACAGTTCATTAGAACAGATGAATCAAAGAGCTGTTTATATTTCTTTCTGAATCAGTTGTTGATAACTAGTCAGCAGTATCAGAAGCGTGTGTCTCTCATTCACGAGTGTGTTGTGTTTCCTCACAGCTCCACTGACAGCACTGATCATTTCCAGAGATGTAGCACTGATTGCTGCTGTTTTCTATGTGCGCTATAAAACAGTTCCACCTCCAGTAAGTACTTTAACTTCCACTATTGTCACACTATGATCAGCTATTTAAAAGTAACCCAAATGGAGTGCAAAAGTAAAAATCAACTGCATGCAAGTCATCTTCTAAGTTTTTGAATAATCACTGAAATTCCCTCCCAAATTACTTAAATATTTGTGTATAATTAACATATTTTATGTAGTTTATCTATCATTTTAAATTCACTTGTCATTTGCAATGCTTCATGGGACTGTAGTTCTTACCCTCGTTAAAGCGGTTAAATTCAGTCTTGTACCTTTTCTTTTTTGTCTGATTTTCAGACGCTTCGAATTTTAACTTTAAACAAAGACTTCTAAAAAAATCCCTATGGAAAAAAAAAACACTATTTGTGCGGAGTACTGTGTGCTAGGGCTGCACGATTATGACAAAAATCATAATTGTCGATTATTCCCTTGAAATTGTAATTGCGATTATTAATTACGATTATCACAGTTTACATTGAATGATGTTTATACCATTGTTTGAAGCAACTGCATGCCATATTTCTATATGAAAATAAACAAGCTGAAAACACTAACTGAAAAAATGTTAGTGCTTTTCTATAGTATTAAGCCTCAAATGTCAACTATACATCTGATTGGTTTCTTCTTTAAATTATAAAAAAGTACAAATATGAATGGTTTAATAATGTTATACTAAAGCTACAATTAAAATAATGAGAAAATCCCTTAAGATAACATGTAGAAAGAAAGAAAAAATAGAATAACATAAGTGGACTTTGAACGATTAATTGCCGTTTTGAACGATTACGTAATTGTGGCATCCATAACCGTAATCGCGATTAGAAATTCGATTAATTGTGCAGCCTACTGTGTGCTCTGATATAAGTGTTTTACAAGTCATGAAATAACCATTTTTGACATGCTAGCACCTGAATTATTATTGCTGTGTAATGAATCATTTCCACGTTATTTATCAAATTTTCTGTGCAGGTAACACTCAGTAAATTCTTCAACCCGTGTTACACCACTGCTCGGCTGAAACCAACACTCATCAGCAAGGTGGACCATTCAGTCTTTTTAGCAAATCATAAATATGTTTTCTTTTTATTAAAATGTTCTTGTATTGTATATATTAAGGCACTGTATTATTGAAATGTATTTATTTTTTCCAAATGTAGTTTTATTTTTTTGCCAATTTCATTTTTTTCTGAATTCCGGGTTTTTTTCTCGTTTTGACATTTTAAATAAATATAAGTAATCAAAAAGTATGTCTAATCAGTTGAATTCATAGAACTTGAACGCTTAAAACTTTAACACAATACTAGTTTATTTAAAATGCTACAATACATCTTCATAAGGCCCTATTATCGTCAAATTTGTAAAGTTTTATGAATAGATAATTTTTTATTTTATTTTTATTAATTATGTGTTTTGATTTTAATATTTAATACACATTTATTATCAACAATCTTGGTAATCAAATTAAGGCGAAAAATTGTATTTTGTTAAAATGTAATCAAATGTAAAATGAAATTTAACACTTAATTTTAATTAATTTCTGTGATATTCCTTAAAAAACATTTTAATTTCATTTTTATTATTATTATTACTTTAAGAAATACATTATACTGTACAATAGTAATACATTTTTGTCATCATGAAAATTATTAGGCCCTAAAATATACATGTTTCACACTTTTAGTAATGTTTCAGTTTGTATTTATGATAGATATCAGATTTGAATGACTCTGAACTAGGAATGCATTCATATAGAAATTTTACCAATGCACGATAGCAGATTATTTTTATTTTATGGCCTATAATAACCATTGTGATGGTTAGTATTATAAATCTATATTGTTTTGTGTTTGGAAAAAATGTGTTGTTAAAGTAGGAAAACCATGTGTGTTTCAGATCAACACGGGTGTGCAGTTGTTTCTGGTGGCGGCGTCTCTGGCTGCGCCGGTGTTTCACTACACTGACAGTGTTTTACTGCAGTCACTGTGGTGAGCTTTCACTGCTCCAGTCACAGTCACATCCTGATGTCAATCATGTGTCATTGACTCGTATTCTAATGATTGAATCCAGTTAAATGAATGTGTATTGTGTTTGTTTGCAGGTTCATCACCGCTCTGACGACCGCAGCATCCGGTTACAGCTACTATCATTACGGCAAAAAGACCGTTGAGGTGCTGAACAACACAAAGTAGTTGTACAGTCATCTGAGATTGAGCTTTGACCAAGATATCTGGATAATCAGTCTTTGTGCAGGATGGAAATTGATGCCACATCTTACTTTTGTATTTAAGACACTTAAGTCTGTATAAAGTCATAGTATATGTATATGGTTTTCAACTCCACAGGAAACATTTTTTTAAAATCACTTTTAATGAACTTTGGGTCAATTTTCTGAATAAAAATGGACATCAAATACACATTTGTGCTTATGTGATGTGTTTAAAAACTTGACCAGACTTCTAGCTTTTTCAGGCAGCGCAATAGATTGTCATTTCTTACCTTTCTTACCAATTCATTCAACACGTTTGCAGCGTGAAACTTTGTTTCGTTTGAGAAGAAAAAATAAAAATAAAAAAGTCTAGAAAATAGTCTAAACAATGATTAGGTGAAGTATTTATATGAATGTTAGCTAAGAGTAAATTCCAAATTGCACAAGACTGAATTGCAAAGTAAAAAACAGAAGTAACAGAGTAATAGAAAAGTAGTCTGCTTTCTATTGAAGTAGTTGATTTAGACTGACCTTAAAACTATAAATAATATGAGTATTTAAGTAGTCATTAAATATTTAAATGGAATTTGTAACTATATTAAACTTGTACATTTCACACTAACATAATTTTCTATGCACTACTGTATTTTGTAATCTTTTATTTTTTTGAACATTTACAGCTTTTTTTTCAATTTTTTGAGGAAATCATATATAATTAAAAAATCTTTGCATTAATTCCATTGTGTTCTGCATTAACTCTGCATTAATTCCATTGTGTTCCATCTCTACTGACAGTGTTATTTTAATGATTCATTTTTAAAATTGTATGAATGTGTATATACACATACAATTTTAAGTACTAAAATGACAAATATATAAAAATTAATTCAAAATATTCATTTAAAATTACATTAAAAAAAAAAATCTCTCTATATATATGTTAAATAATATATTATAAATATTTTAAAAATCAAAATATAAGAATGTTAAAATATTCATTAACTACATATAAAGCATTAAAATAACACTGTCAGTACATCAGTTAAACAGATGAAACACAATGGAATTAATGCAGAGTTGCATGATGTATATTATATATTGCATGATATATATTATATATATATTTGGTAATAACACTGTATATTGATTATTTCATTGACTGGATTCTATCAAAATTTATTTTATATTTTAATTTGATTGTGGTCGAGCACATGTATGCATAAAACCAAATATATTTTATAAATGCACAAAGTTCTGGCCAATAGCAGGACTGAATAGTGTCACCTGCCAACTATGCAGGGAAGTTTTAAGAATGTCTGTTAGAACTATTATGCATGTCGGGTCGGGTCTGTTGAAGCAGGTGTCTTGGAGGTCAACGCAGGGGTCAAAGGCGCAGTTTGTAGATTCGGTTGCGTTCCGTTCATCTTGCTCATTTTTATGCATTATTTTACCCACTATCATGGGACTCTGTGTTGGTGTTTTGGTTGTGAACTTCATGTCTTCAGGTGAGTTTGGAGATTGATGATTTGGTGTGGCTGGAGTTGTTGGAATGAAAACGGTTGGGGTTGAGATTGTGGCGAGGACTGATTCAGTAACTGCACTCGATGGCATTGGGATGGTGTCGTTTACTGTACTGGAGTTAAAGATGTCATCTTCTCCGAGATCTGTATTTATATCTGTAATGTTATCTGTAAGCACAAATCATTTTTTCTTAATGCCAAAGCAAAATACTCATGTATTGTGTGCAAGTAATGAACTGTTATTATATATACTGTAGGCATAATATAATCAGTCACATATAGTTTGATCAGTAAGTTTTTAAATATTTTAGAACGCAGTCTTCTGCGCACAGAGGCTTCGTTTATTTGATCATAATTACAGTAAAAACAGAAAAAAATGTAAATATTATTACAATGTAAAATAAAAATGTTCTGTTTGAATATATTGTAAAATATAATTTATTCCTGTGAACCAAAGCTGTATTTTCAGCATCATTACTCCAGTCTTCAGTGTGATTCTTCAGAAAGCATTCTAATATGCTGATTTGCTGCTCAAGAAACATCTTTATTATTATTAACGTTGAAAACAGATGTGCTGCTTCATATTTTTTAATGGCAACTTTGATTATTTTTCAAGATTCTTCGGTGAATAGAAAGTTCAAAAGAATAGCATTTATGTTAAAAAGAGAAATCTTCTCTAATATTATAAATATCTTTACTGTCACTTTAATTGATGTCTTTACTATCGATTTAGTGTGTCTTTGCTGTATAAAAGTATTTGTTTGATTCATTCATTCATTAAAAAAAAATACTGATCACAATATCTTGATAGGTATATCTAATAGTTTAATAGTGTGTATTAAACTACTGTAACAATACCTTTTCATACCACATACAGCATGCGGGTTGTCTCCAATATAAACCAGAAAACATGGTTTTGGTGTTGCATTAGTGTTGATGTCCTCAACGCTGTTGGAGTTTAATGCTGGAGGATCCTGTGTTCTCACACACACAGCAGTCCAGAAAAACATCACAACGTAGTGTGACGTCACGTGCATCATCTGTTGACCAGATCAGGTTATTTCACTCTACACGTTTTCATTAGTAAAAGCACTACATTTTTTCAAGAAATATTTTTTTTTTCTTTTTACTGTTTTCCCCCTCAGGTTATAGAGGTGCCACCAACATCGTCTTTGAAAAATGAGTCACATGTGAGATTCAAGGTCAGTGAATCAGACAAAAAATGCCTCAGACTTCTTCATTAATATTTCAAGCTGAAAGCCACTATGTGCTTTTTCATAATGCTTTTGGGATAATGCATACCAGGGTTATTATAGTTACCTAAAACTAAAACCATATAAAATCCACACCAAAAAAAAAAAAATTAAATAAATAAATAATATATATATATATATATATATATTGCTTGAAATTTGTTTAAAGTCTACTCGTCTTTAATAATGTTTTAAATTTATGGCTGGACGTTTTAGGCTGTGGATTTAAAACTGGAATCAAGAATTGTGAAATCGCACCAGTATCTAAAATTTTGCTATTGTAATTCTGCGGTTGTGAATCGCTGTGGGCATGAAGCCTCAGGTATTCACAACCATAATGATTTATGGCCATAATGCAGTCTTGCTTTTATACGTAAATAAGTAAGGAGAAGCCAAGGAGTCTCACAAAGACCCTCTTATGTGTGTAACTACTTTCCTATGCCAAGTATCCAGAATCTGATATAATATAATGTATAATAATAAAAAAACAATAAATTAACTACATATATATTATATATATATATAGTTATATTATAGTTTAATATACATATATAGTTTAACTTGATGTACTAAAAAAACTAAAACTGAAATAAAAATAAATAAGAACTATATAGACATATTTTAAAATAAAGAAATACATAAAAATAAATTAAAATGACAGGTGCAACAGAATTGCTAGAACAACTAAAATTTAAAACGAAAACAAAATATAAAAATGAAAAACTAATTCAAACTATTAATAACAACTAAAGTAACACTGTTGTATACTGTATTAAATGCATTTTTGAGCATCTAAACATATAGGTGGCATCATTTACATGCTTTTTAATAAACCAAACAATGTTCTGCAAGTTACTCAATTTAAAAGTGTTCTGTTTTCGCCATTCACAGGTTAGTTACACTTGCATTCAGTAAAAATCTACAGTTTTCTTTTCTAATTTCTATTCTCAGCATCATAAATGTTATTTAAAAACAGACGCATAACAGAGTGACTGTCCACCATCCACTTCAGTTCAGACACATACTGCATTGCTTTACATTATATTCATTACTACATTACATTATCTACTCACACAAATCTTCATCCGTCTCAGCCGAGAAATTCAGCCTCAGATTCAGGAATTTATACGTTATAACATTTCTGTTAAATGTCTGATGAGCTGATGAGTGAGTGAGTGAGTGAGTGTGTGTGTGTGTGTGTGTGTGTGTGGGTGTGT